CGCCGCCTGCTCCCTGCCCGTCCCTCCGGACCCCGCCGCGCCCGGGGACGCTCCCGCCGTGCCCCGTCCTGGGGCTCCGCGCCTCTCTCGCGCTCGTCACATAGGAGCGGGGACATCGGGGACGAGGGGCAGAGTCCCAAAGAGCGCTGTTGCCTTCCAGCTCCGAGACTTGCGTGTGACTCCGTATTTAATAGCACGCATCTCTGCCGAAACTGCCAGTTCTCTCTTTCGGCTTAGGGGTTTCCTCCGATACGAAGCGTAGGGACGGCTGTTCGGGAACGATGTGCTCGCCGCAGAGGCATACAAAGCCCTCCAGTCTGGTGATAACACAGATCACGGTGCTTTTAGTGTGAAACGTACAGGGGAAGAGCAGCTGATATTGGACGGAGCAGATTATTTCAAGCCCAGAGCCGGGTTTGTGCTGGGTAATTATTGCAGGCGATTGACAGCGTCTGGAAGGCACAGCAGGGTAAAAGGTCCGTTCCCCCCCGTGGCCGCTCGCACCAGGGTTTGTGAGAGTGGAGCTGGGCTCTCAGGGCTTCTCCCGTAGGTCTGGAGGCAGCAGCGCTCCCATTGAGGCAGGAGGTTTGGGATTTCTTTGTTGAAACGCTGGAGCTGAGGGTATCGAGGGAGCGATCAGGATCCTACCTGGCAGTGTTTTGTTTTATTTTTTTTTAATTCAAACAAGGGAATTTTTTTTTTCCCCTCCCAGATGGTGACTATTGGGATAGCTTTCCAAACACGAATAGGTGCAGCATTTTCTGAGCTGCATCTACAGCTTGCTGTCTGTTCCGCTTATAACAAGGCTGCAGAGGGTTAATAACTGAGCACAGGACGGCAGAGTTATGCATTTAGTTATAAATACACCCGTGGAAAGTGTTACATACTGTTTTAAGCAACCGTCTGACTTGCTGGACTCTAGAAATTGATGAATCATTTATTAAAACAGATGTTTTACATTTCTTAATCTTTTGCAAGAGGAAGACCTCGGTAGAGAACCTGGAGAGGCTTTCCACAAAGACAGCTCCCGTAAAGACCGGGAGCGCCGGGCCGGGTCTCGGCATCTTCTCGGGGCGGCTCAGCGGTGGGGTGGGAGAAGGCGGATCGCTCCCTCGCTGGCGGGGGCAGCAACAGCGGGGAGGGCTCCTCGCGAGAGGCCGCTCGGCCCCGCGCCCCTGGGACAGCGTCTATTTGGGGCAGAGGACGCGCGTTACGGAACATCCTGCATCTCACGGCAGCCCCCGGCAGTTGGCCAAACCTGATAAGTCTCAACTCCTACGAGGTTCAGGCTGCTGCTTCGTGTGATTGCAGAGCAGCCCAGGGGAATCTCCCTGGCTCTGGGGTCCCATCGCCCCTCTGCACTAGCGACTGAGGGGGTGGGGATGGTGGTGATATTTTTGGGGGCCAACACGAAATGTGGCTGCAAGCTGGGGTGGTTGGGAAGGGGCTCCTCAAACAGCTCATTTTGCTTGGAAAGGCTCGTGGCCTGGTTTCGGATCGTGTCCACGGGGGGGTCTGGTGGGCTCTTCCCTCTGGCGCTGGGAGCGAGCTGAGGAGCTGGGTGGTGTAGCTGGGCTGGACGGCAGAGGTGGCTTCCTGGTACTCTGTGTCCCGTTGGGAAAAGCCATGACTGTGTGCTCCAAATCCACATGAATATGGACATGCCTGAACCCCACTCTCTCAGAGGCGTTTCGTGGTACCCTTGCAAGGGCTGGGAGGAGCTGGAGCCGTGGGGAGGACCTGGAGCCGCGGGGGCGCTCTGGATGTTCTGGAGATGAAGGCGGCAGGAGATGCTGGGGTAAAGAAACCCCACCGACCACTTTCTTGGCCCGCCCCCAGCCGCGGCGCAGAGCCCCGGCTCCCACCCCCGCCTGGCAGGAGCAGATGGTCGGCACATCTCGGAGCAGGGCTGGCATGTGGGCCCCGGGAGCGGAGGGGCGGCCGCAGCGCTGCGCCGCGATGCGGGGCTCCCTGGCGCAGCGAGGCACTTGTGTGACGCTTGCACCGTGTTAGCAAGACTTGACAGCTCTGTGCTGTTGCCAGCTTCTGCAGTTTCAGGGCAAAGCTTTCCGGCCTTGGCGTTTGCTCTTAAATCCCCTGCTCCTGGAATCATGTGATTGCGTGGGCCCTTCAAACTCCTCTTTCCTGAATTAAAGCGTGGAGGTGTGTTCGGCTGCAGGGAAAAAGCAGTGTGCGTGGAGGCCTTTAGTCTCTCTGTACGTATGAAAGAAAACGCACACTCAAAGAAACGCACAAGCATTGGGTTTTTAAATCACGCTCGATGTCTTGATTTGGGAGGTGCGCACGGGTAGCTCGAATCCCTCTGTAGCACGGCGCTGGGAGGCTGAAGCTGCCTCTGCCCAAGAGGACGGTAAGAGCCGTCGCGCCCAGCGCGAGGCAGGGACTCGAGGCAGCAGAGCCTCTTTTTATCCGCTAGAAACTCTTTTGACAGCTGTTGCTGTAGATGAGAGGGGAAAGGGTTTAAAGCATCATTGCTGTTTATCTTGCTTAAGGGGAGTAATGGAGGTAATTGCCCAGTTAGCTGCAAACTGTGGAGCTGCTTCCCCAGCCTAGAGTTGTCATAAGAGGGATAATCCGAAATGGATTGAACGAATAAGGTGATGCCAACATTAAATGCTTAGGGCGGCCTTGTTCCTGCTGACGGGAGATTTCCAGAGGCTTTTTTGTGTTCAATAAATAGTTTTTCTCTCGGAGCGAGGCGTGATGAAAGGAGACTATCGCTCCTCTTGTAGTTGGATGGGGGGAGAGCAGCCCCTCCAGAGAGGTGCAATTCAGTCGACTTTCGATGTGTGTTTTTGCATTATTGCCGGGGATCCTGCAGAGGTGACAGTGCTAACTTGGGTTTCTCCAGCTGGCTGGGGACGGAGGGCAGCCACGCTGGCCTGGGCAGTAGCAGAGAGCATGGCAGGTCTCTGTGATGCCAGTCTCTCCTTCCCTCTTACAATCCCATGGCTTTTTCTTCTACCATCTCCCACCCTGACTGCGGTCCTTCCCTCCTTGCCCGTCTCCCACCGCCTTTTCTCCCATAGCAAGTCCCTTCTCTCTCCTCACCTGCTTTTCAATGGCTCCCAGTTCCCCTCTGGTTTTCTGGCTCCCCATCTCTTCCCAGAGGAACATTTTGGTGCCCCTTGGCCTGGGGGGAGGAGGGGGAGCTGGCACCCTGCTCCTACCCCCTCCCCTAATCTGGAGCCTCTGGAGAGGAGGGAACGGCCCGTGTCCTGCCCCCCGCAGCGCTCCTGGCCCCAGGCAAAGGACATCTCTTTCCATGCCTGGCTTCAGGTGGAAACAGGTCGTTTTATTCAGTTGCCTCGTTAGGCTGGTGG